TTCTAGTTACTGCTACAACACATGGAGTGGATGAGCAACCTGACGGCAAGACTTGCGGTGGTCTGGATAGGTATGATCAGGTGAAGTTATCACAGTGTCATAATTACGAAACACTGGTTGTCTGGACTGACAACGACGCAGCAGGCGTCCAGTGAAGGAATATATATATATATGTATATATATCAAAGAATATACTCCGATACAGTGGAACTATTGTGTATATTCATTTGACTGTTAACTAAGTGAAAGTAATGTGCAAACTCTGTCAAACAAGCTGCGTTTTACAGTGTGAAGGTTGCGCCTTCAAACTGTTTTTATGTCCTTCAAATTTCAGTGTTGAATACAGCTCGTCCAAATTGGGATCTTACACTGAAAAGAGTCGTATCTGGTTTAGGAATTATCGATCAACTTTAGATCTACTGTGTCCAGCAACCATGCTAATGAATCATTGTTAGTACTCAACTGAGCAGCGACCATATTTACCCTAAACTAGTCCATCAACCGAGATTCCCGTCAAGGAAAGTTTGAGTTTCATTGACTGAACGCTATAACTAACCGGTGAAACATATTTGGGCAAACTTCCAAAGCTCGAAATTTGCAACGAAAAAGAAAAAATCTCGTCCCATGACCAAAAATACACTCAAATCCGATGAAATGATTGGAGAAAGCACTATAATGGTGAAGAGCGTTCATACTTACCCGCCTATGTTGAATGTCCATAGATATGTTTTACTTTGCATTTTGAAGCTCACCGCTTCTCCGGTAAGGCCGCTTCTTCTGACCACACCAAATATCATCGAAGCCTGGCCCTGATATTGATGATTCGTAGGACTGAAGATAGAAGAAACTATTTGGAAGATGAGTGGTTAAAAACAAACAATTTCAATTGGTTGCTTGAAAACGCACACACACACATATGGACTTACGGTTTGAACCAGATGGAGAATACCGCTGTATCAAAAGTTCCGTGCTTGTACAATTGCTCGAATATTGTCGGCTCAGTTTCGGGAGTTTTTGAGCTAAGACACAAACCGAATATTCCATCAAAGGGTCGAGTTTGTGAACAGGCTCCTGACTGCTCAAAGGCTTCTGCCAGAATCACTCCTTGTACCATGACCTCTCCAATCTGAACAGGTTGAGTTGTGAAATGTACACAATAGAATTGCGCTACCGTAATGGCCTCCTTCATGTACCGTCCCGAAATACGGCACGCAGCATAGGTTTCAGAGAAAGTTTTCGCAAGTGGCTCATACGTGGAAGACTCGCGAAAATCATATGGGACGCTCGTGAATACTGTGCCAGAATTCACCGAGCGAATCCATGTATGACACGATCCGGAGTCGAACAGCACTGTCATTGTCTGTGGGGGTGTACCAATCGCTATGTCACCACAAGGCAGACCAGGGCCACAGTACTTCAGGGGCGTTCTACAGTAGCAGACCAATGAAATTAAGTCAGCAACCTACTCAATAAACTTATCGCCAAATACAACTGAAGTACCAATCAACAGAATCACATGAAAATACTTGTACATTATGCCTCTCGAAGGTCTCTTTGTTTGAAATTGTGCAGGATCGATTGGTATCAACAGAAATTTTTGCACTTGTTGGAGTGAGTACTTTGTTCTGCTGATGGGTTGACTGTTAGAAAATTTGATGAGTTGCTAAGAGCTTCATACGTACACTGAAATACGAAATCAATCTAGAGACCCAGAACGGAACATCAGTAACAGCCAATCCTTTTGCTCCAGTAAGTATCCAATCGGCTCAACGGTGGCGCCTGCACCCACTCACTCACCCCGATGCATTTGGGTGTGACACATTAATCTTGTAGCTGATTCAGGGAACCTAGAAATGTCAGGTTGAACTTTAAGATTCCAGAACGAGGTAAGAGGATGGGGGTAGTAATCAGGAATTTCATCCGAAACAACTTGGATTGTGAGCGGTTCGCCTCGGCACCGCACATTCAAAAGTTAGTTCCGGGCACTTGGTAATTTTAATCAGGTCATCTTGTGACTTAACTGATCTGAAATCTTATGCATTTATTGGTTGTTGGTCACGTGGCTGTTGATCTATCCGCGAAGCTTGGTAATTGACTTGTTTGATAGTCAGTTTCCAAGCTCAGATAAACTGCCACCTGATCAACAATCAATAACTCACCCGAGCTACCAACATTTCAGACTACTCATTCACTGGGATTGTATGTGAACAATTTACTACTGATATGTTTGGAAAATACATTGATCGTTTCCGTCGGGATTCAGAACAGTTTCCGCCTATTTAGTTAATTTCGTGTTCCAATTGAATGTTTCGGGATCACTGTCACCCCAGACAATCTACGCATTTTGAACGGCTTGAAACGGAACAAAATGTGGACTGTGAATACTCGGGTGGATATGTCTGACACACATTATTATCTGGGTCCCTGTCGTGTAGCCCAGACGAATTTTATGTAAACTGCCCCTGTCTATCATTTCAAACTTTTCATTACATTATCTTATGTCGACAGGTTGGATTTGGTGAAACCTGTCCAGTTACCAACCACCGATACCTACTCGAGAGCAGCAAGCGGGATTTCGGCCTGGTAGGGGTTGCGTTGACCAAATCTTCACACTGCGTCAAGTGCTAGAACAACGGCATACGTATAAGGGACCCACAGTAACAGTATTCCTGGATTTCCGAGGCGCATTCGACTCGGTTGATTGGGACGCTTGTCCACCAAGGAATGACCCGAAAGTTTGTAAACCTGATACGTTTTTTGTAGTCTCAAACTTCCGGACGTGTGAGAGTGTACGGAGAGCTCTCCAAAAGCTTCCGTACACAAAGCGGTGTCCGTCAAGGATGCCAACTCTCTTCATCCCTTTTTAAATTCGTGATCGATGAAATAATGAGGCGAATACTGGAGGGTCTCCAAAACCCTGTTGTTCAAATAGCCTGTGAAGAAAACCTTGTCGATCTGGAATATGCAGACGAAATCGTTCTCATGTTCGAAGAGGAGGAGAAGGCCCAGGTGTTCTTGGATGAACTGACCAAAGTCATCCCGTCCTTTGGTATGCACTTCGCACCTACAAAGTGTAAGGTCATGCTCGTGGACGTGCAGTCCCTGAACACGCCAATTACAATCCGGGGAGAGGTACTGGAGGTTGCATTGGTTCTGATTGCAGTGTGACAGATGAGGTGAGTGCACGAGTCTGCAAGGCTCGGGTCACGTTTGCTAACTTGAGACACCTATGGCGTCAAAGTGGTGTATCCCTGAATCGGAAGGGGCGTGTGTATCAAGCTACAGTGCGGTCTGTTTTGTTGTATGGCTTTGAGACCTGGTCTGTTCGAGCAGCGGAACTGAGACGTCTTCAGGTGTTCGACAATCGTTGTCTCAGAACCATAGCTCGTGTAGGTTGGTATCGGCGAATCCATAACGAGGCAGTTAGAGAGCGTGTTTTCGGTTGTGTAATGGGTGCTTCCATTAAAGAATGTGCCCAGCACCAGAAGCTGCGTTGGTTGGGACATGTGTTACGTATGCCGAGCCATCGTTTGCCGAAGAGAGTGCTGTTTTCCATGCCCANTCCAGGATGCGGAACGCGTGATCCTCACTGTGCTTGATTAGAGACACTACAAGACATGGCTGCCAACCGATGTCAGTGGCGTTCTTGTTGTCAGTTTCTATCCAGATCGTCTGAGTGAGTGTCTGGAGGTATAGGCACCTCGGGATGATTACGGTAAGCTAGCACTAAGTCCCTTCCCCGTCCATCTTTACTCTTTTCTCTACAATAAGGCTTTCAAATAAATCATGATTTTGCGGCAGTGAAGCATCGGTACTGAACACCGATGTCATGCTGTCCATGATGATGATGATGACCGACCAATAATAGTTCGATGCCGGATACGTAGCTTGGGTGATTACTCCCCACTGGTCTGTCCCAACAGGTTCCTCAAAACTGATGTTGTATCCTCTAATGTGATGCTGAGCAGTCTGCCTGTCTCAGGAAGAATAAACTGATCTATGAGGTTCTAACAAGTCATGGCTCAAACAAGACGCGCGAACGAGACGCTTTTCACGCCTAGTGATGCTACATAGTTTGTCGTACCACTTCGGTTGTTCCTCGAAACCTCAAATAGCAAAATACGGTAGATTAGGCGGCACTATCTGCAGGCACACAGTAGCCTGGGTTGTAACAATCGATTAAAGCATACCACTGTTGGTTTCACTGGTGGCAAGTCAAAGCTACAAAGTGTGTGGCGGGTACATTTCGCAGACTTTCGAGGGTGTGATCAAATAAATTAAGCAACTAGATGGTTGATGGTGACGTCGGAAGCTTTGGTAATTTCAATCTGAGATTTAATCTCATTACGGAAGCCGAGAGGCATGGGGTACAGTTGTTTGATCTTTTTTGGAAATCCTCAGCATTTTGCATCTCGCGAAACTCCAGAGTCTCACAACCTAGGACGTTCCAACCGGTAACTGAACACTTCATCCCTCGGCCTTGAGCTGCTGATCAGCAGTGCGATTAGCCATCAATTAGACAGGACACAGTGCTATTCATCCGACAGGTTGTTGGTTCGAGACTCCCTGGAGTTTCGTTAGCTGTGCACTGCTGATGATTCCCATTGAGATGAACCAAACGTACAGTGCTTTCCGGTTTTCGAACGTTGGCTGGTTTTCCTGAAAGGACAAAATCGCCGCTGAATAGATTCTTTCTCACATCCACGAACAAATAGGCAATCCACTTTTACACACATTTTAGAAATTGGCATCCTATAGTCTTACTTGATGACTATTCAGGTTCTTGATCCTCATATAAGTTATGATATTACCAATCAGGTAGCCGACTTAAACCTTTGATGGAGAACTAAACTTAGTTTACCATCAAAACGAAGTGAAATTTAGAGCAAGCTACTCATCACTTACCAAAAATGTCAGGCCTAAGTATGTAACCGGTTAGATCATTCCAGATACTACCTGAATTTTACTGAAAATATTCCAGGAGAAACCCTCCTGCTCAAGTCATCGAATACGTTAAAAAGCCACCCTCAGTGAACAATATTTCGCCGAGTAACACGAAATTCTCGGCTAGAAACCGATTATCATGAATAAGCTAAATGTGATTGGTCATCTGTGGAAGAAAGGTGTCTGCCAGTCTCACGTGCTCTTCACCAAAGGACGGAAAATCCGTAACCTCCGTTCATATACAGAGTGTCGCTATTCCTAGCAGGATTCGGACGTAGCATCGTGAACGAGCTACTCAGCTGTGATCCAAGAGTCGCCGGCAACTGAGTGTATTTCGTTGATATATTCTTCTTTTCTAGTCGCAAAACACATCACCATCTGAACTACTCACAGTTGCTACCAATTCGTTGCCTACCTTGTTCTGGTTGCTAATGGAGCAAGACCTCCAACATTCTTTCTACTCCATAAGTGTCCTATAAGTAAAACTCCAATGACATCCCATACATCTGAGGTGGTAATTTAAAGACCATGGGACCCCCGTTGTCAAACATAGGCGATTACCCGAAATTATACCGACTCAAATATGTCACCTTACAGTGATGTGATGATCCTGCATCCCAAACTGACCGGATTTTATCTTCTTACCGCTCAGTCAGAATACCAACAGTGATAGGTCAGACGAAAAACAATGAATATCCGTACCACGAGAGATTGCATTACGAGGCCGTCTGGAGGTAAAGCTGTACAGCACTCTGCGGTAGAGGTATGAAGGGCGGTGACCGATCGATTCATAATTATGGGAGCACGGTGGTGTTCTCTCGGCAAGAATATTGGGTTAGTAAAGATGGGCTCCAAAACCGCGCACTTCAATCATCCAATGATCTGCCATGAGTTTCAATGGATTATCCAAACAAATAAACATTGTCATAAGCCCGACAGAAGTGGAAGCGTGTCTGCTGTGGGTAACGGCGTCAAGAGTCAGACATCTGTGCGACAATTTCTGTGCTCTTGAGCCAGACCAGCTTCTCGCAGCCAAGTGGGTCAAGCTATTGGGTTACTGGCTCTCTCACGAGAATTCTACTATGCACTTGTTTGAATTAGATGCAAAGAACAGAGTCCACAAAGGAAAAATCAAAACTTCTCACTGCCTTGTGGATTGGACCCCCGGGTATGGATTCAAGGCAGGGTATCTTATCCAACCGCCTTCACCCAACTTGGTCCGCCCTGACAGATTTTCACTCACTGAAACCTCTTCCTAGTTCCCTCATTCGAGTGTTTCTTGTTCAGTTGGGTGTCAGTCACCTAATTGTTGCTCCGTATCTAAGCTTCTCCGGATAAAATAAGCAAAAACAAACCATTATTAAATTCAACGGATCTGTTCCACTTTGCTGCTTTCAAAGTTTCGTGTATCGTGGGTGGCCGTCTATTGGTTACGCCCGCACCGAGCCTGCCAGACTACAAGATAAGGAGAAGACAGAGAACACTGGACACGGCTGTATTGTCAAGTTAGAGCATCTGCGTAAATATATAGGAAGACTAAAGGGCCAAATATGGTCGTTCACTTACTCGTCCCGTACACCACTGGCGGTG